AGTAGCAGCTCTGATCTGACGCCTTTACCTTCTTATTTTCCAGTGAATACTGCCAGCTGCAACTTTTGACACCGCACAGCTGCCGGTGGTTCCTCCTCACACACATTACAAGCTGGATTCATTAAAAGTCAAGAGAGGCAGCTGGATGATGTCACATCCGTGAAGAAGGGTCCCTATAACTGCACGCAGCTCGGATTTTCGCTGCATGCGTGCCCACAAACTTTTTTCCCCCTTTGCAGTGACGAGAGGTTTCTCCCCGCTGCCCACATGGCATGCGTAACGGGGACGAGTGGATGGATGTGCCCCCCTCCTCCTCAGGAAGCCAAGGTTTTTACCAGCGCGTAGTGGACGTGGTGGTGCGAGTCCAGGGGCAGAAACTTGCGTGAAAAATTCTTGTTCCCGTCGCGGCGGAGAAGGCGGAGGAGGGAAGCATCGTAGCAGCCGGCAGAATGTGGTCGCTCTCCGTGGTACTGAACCCGCTGCTGTTCCTGCTGCTGTTCGGGTACTGCCCTTCAGTGGTGAGTTTCCCTTAACACTGCCTTTTATATTTTTCTCGGAAAGCACAGGCTTAACTTCAACTCACTCTGTCATGTAATGTTAGTGCTGTAAAGTTCAGGTCATTGGGGATGTAATTAATTAGGGTGGAGCATTGCACAATGGTGGGTGAATGACCAAAAACACAGAATGAGTCATTTATGTTTCCTGCCATCATTGCTTATTGCGCTGATTGTTTGCTATTGTCACCATAGCCAATATACACTCTGCTGCAAGCAATAACTGACACTAAATATGTGAAAAAATAATCTGAAATAAAAAAATACTGAATGTAAAGTAGTGATAGAGGGAGAGGCACCCTCACAGCACTCATGTTTATTGCCTACATCAACCACATAGCACTGATATTGATCCTGGAGTATTGCCAAGCATATAACTCACTTTTAAGGGAGAGTTCAGCCATTGTGAAAATAAATAAATAAGCCTTGCTGCTGTGGATTACATCCAAATCCCCTCCCAGACAGAAGAAGCAGAACTAAACATCTTGAATCTTGATACAGGTCAAATCAGACTTTACAGACTTTACCTGAAATGATCTGTTGATTTTTGATGCAGTTTTCTTTTTTGCACTACCTCTGTGATTATAAAATGTGATGTTTTTAAAGGAAATGTTTTATCCTGCCAGTTTAGGCTTCCGAAACGACGATGCATTGGGGAGCATTATCACAAATTAGGAGGAGCATCTTGCAGATCACCAAGCCATTTGGACCAGAGTAGTGGTCGATTAGGTTCATCCCAGCCATGCAGAGTGCAATCCCTGTGCCAGTGTCTTGGTTGCAAAGCAGTGTCTTCCCATAGCATCACCTGGAAAGTGGTGTGCAGAATTAATGTTGTTGGTTTGTTCAGAGAAACAGGAAATATTTGCAGGCTGAGTCGGTGCTCAAAACTGTATTCATATCTGTCAGAAAGTATAAATGAACGCCCAAAACAAAAGAGGAGCCAGCTGTCTGAATTATTTAATGAGAGAAAAACTCTTTGTGCAGAGTTCCCTACAAAAAAGAAGCCTAGTTGGAGAGTGCATCTGGCTTGGCTGAGCTACAGATTCATTTTAATATGAGGAAATGTGCAAGTGAGAAGAGGGGAAAGGATGTGCGTCACTCAAGAGACAGAGGAGAAAGACCGTTTTAACAGATTAGTGAAACTGGCTTCTTTTTAGGAGCCTTTCAAAGCAAAGTAAGGAAAAGAGGGGCTGAGGATGTGTTTTTTTCTCCTTCTTTTATCCCATTCAGCTATGATGCTGAGGGAGGCTGATTTCAGCTACAGTCATGGTGCACCAAGCCTTCTAGTCTCCCTAATAATTTCATAGACTACCAAAATGTACCAGACATGACCTCCAGATATTTCCGTTCAGTATGACTTTTTCCTCTGCTGCTTGTCTCTGTGCTGAGCAGAGGAGTTCAGAGGAGAAACATACCATAAAAAAACAAAAATTGTAAAGGTGAAAATATTATATTCTACTTTCATGGCTTTTATCATATAATCATATTAGGACCAGCTTGGCATCAGGGCATCATTAGAATAAGCTTTAATTCCTAGATTACAAACTTTACAAGCAGCCAATAGGAAGGTGGACAAAGATCGGGGCTGCAGTGCTTTGATAATACCAGAAACAATTTCCTTACAATCTGATAATGTAAACATAAGAGAGACGAGTTGGGGAAAAAGAATGAAAGCTCATGAGATTGATAGCATAGAAGGCATTTTATTCATATATTTATTTACTGACAGAAAATGTGGCAGGATGCAAATGTAAAAAACCAACACAGTAATAAGGTAAATCAAATTCTGTATAGCAAAATTCCAATTTATTATTTGGGCAACTATTTCATTCTTAAAACACATGACTTTTTTATAGCAACATAAACTAAGCATGACGTTTTTGCCTGCACCTCTCTGTAGGTGACAATGATGAGTCAAAGCCTGCTCTTTCTCCTTCGCGTGACGTCTTTCCCTGCTCAGAGGGGACATGATCTTTCATGGCTGATTCCGAACACTCTTTAAACTGCTCAGGCTGACAGGCAAGGATGAATGGGAGGAGGAAGGAATGCCTGCACTATAAACAGGGCAATTTTTTTTTGTAATTTTTCTGTCCATCATCTCCAAAGGCATCAGAACGTGTGTCGCATGTTATGCTCCCTACAGGTAGAACGTAAAACAAAATCCAAATGGTAGCTGGTTGTCTGCCAAAGAGGCTGGTAGTGCAGAGGAATTTACCATCCACAGTCAAAGGTTGCCAGTATTTGGCTGGAGGCTTGTGTTAATTTCCCAGGCTGACAGTACACAGCAGTATTGTTTAAATACTTATTGTCTTTGTGTGTCTGATAGGTATCAACTTTTCCTGCACTTCAGGACGCTTTGATCAATATTTGGAGTAAAACCGGTTTTTACTGTGTGCACTCTGACAGTGGTTGATGGTGTTGCATTAAAATATGCTGCGTTGGCTTACGATGCATAACTTTATGTTCTTTAGACTTTATACTCTAAAGCTGTGGAGCATATTGAATGTAATAAAGAATGGGAAAAGCTTCCACAAATCAGGTTTATCTGCGTCTTCCAGCAGGACTTTCAGTTAAAGCATTGGAAGGCCTGGTGAGGAGAAACAGAGGAATTTCAATTCATCAAGGCCAGGAAACACTGTTTATTGTTGAAGAGGAAATTCACTGGAGACCATATACTGTGAGCGGAGGAATATCTTACAGCAAAGGCAGTTTGTTCTTTCAAAGCCCAGACTTTTTATAAGTCAGTGGAATTGGTTGGTGTCAGAGCTTTGGGGGCATAAGGCAGAAAAATGGATGACCCATGAGGAAAAAATAAGAAAACCATAACTGCTGTGTGCCGCAATTTCATGATAGCGATATCATCAGAGTTAACTTTATTTGATGTGTCTCTCTGTTGATGTGTGTGCTGTCTATTCTACGACTGTGCCTGTGCTTCTGTATGCAGACCATCAGGCCAAAGGAAGGGTGGCAGGTGTACAGCTCAGCTCAGGATGCAGATGGGCGTTGTATCTGCACAGTGGTGGCACCTGAACAGAATCTGTGCTCCAGAGATGCCAAAGGCAGACAGCTCCGCCAGCTCCTGGAGAAGGTGTGTGCACACAGCCACTCATACATTTCTTTTTATGTAACAGAAACACACACACACACACACTAACTCATTCTCTCTCTCTCTCTCTCTCTCTCTCACATTTACAGTAAGCACCGTGCACACCTGCATTCATATAGACATATCACATCGATTTCTATCGTTATTTGTGCTTCTTTGTTGCCTTAATCCTCAGAGAGATTGCACCAGCCAGGTCCATAACCCTATTTTCCACTTCTGCATATATTACATGGGTGACATCAGCTGAATGGCTGCTTGTGAAGATGAAAATGCTCTCCATCTCACCTTAACAGAACTCGAGTGCCCCTGTTTTTTTGCAACAAACCAGTAAAGGCTAATTCTAAGGTTTGGAGTATAGTATTACCAGGCTTTACGCATTTGATCGGGAACGTTATTTCTAACAGGAAGTGGACTGTCCTCAGCTTTTGAAGAATTTGTATTATTTTTTCCACATCTACCACCATGGATTTTTTTTTTTTTTTAAAGCATGCATTTTGAATTGATTTCATAAAATAAGCTCTGAACACGACAGCCAACATTGTGAACTGAAGTAGAAACATCAAATTTAATTCCAAATGTTAGTTGTTTTTTGGGGGGTTTTTTTCACCACCATGACAGTAGGGATTTAATGCATTATCTACAAACAAACAAACAACACGGCGCTGGAGTCACTTTCCTAAATTAGTATACCATATAAGGAAACATTGCTGTAGCCTACATTTTAATGTTGTATGCCAAAGGGTGTTCTCTGTCATTCATTGGGGCCGTTGACACTAATGTACTAAGCTGCCGCAGGGCTTCAGTGAGGCCATTTTAGGATCCCTCCACCACAGCCAGAAAAGTATGCAGAACACACAATGTGTGAGTGTTGTGCCACTTTGCTAGTGATGTGCTCCAGTAATGTTGGTTGGTTGCAATTATAGTCAAAGAGAGAGAGGAGAGAAAGGGCCATATTTCTTCTTGCTCAGACGCCCCATGAACCTACTGAGCTTTTGTTAAACCAGAGAGAGACACTGTAAGGTTTCTGTGTCAACTAAATGCACTGAAATATGTCATCAAACCCAGCAGATTCAATAGTTTGTTTTAAATTATAACTGATAAAGTGATATGTATGTTTAAATAATGAGAGAAAACAGAGCAACTCCATTTAAAATTTATTCAAAGCTCTATTCAGCTCACATATGGATGGGTAAAAGACAATCACGTTGGAGGTCAGAATGTTGATTTATTCCTTGGGATGCTGGAGCATGGCAGGCTACTGAACGGCTGAACATAGAGGACATTTTAATCCCGTGGTGGACGGAAAAATCAATGCAACGCTGTTTCATTCTTTTCAAAAGGTGCAGAACATGTCGCAGTCAATCGAGGTGCTGAACCTTCGGACGCAGAGGGACTTTCAGTATATCATGAGAATGGAGAGCCAGATCAAAGGCCTGCGGTCAAAGTTCCGACAGATCGAATCGGACAGGAAGACACTCGTCAACAAAAACTTTCAGGTATAATTTTTGTTTTATGTTCACGCCTGCGAGAAACCTCACAGGAGAGCCAGGGTAAGGATCTCTTCTAAAGATGCCTGAGAACCATCTGAACTGATAATTCCTGATGAGACCAATGCAGGTCTCCTACTGGCCAGCCAAGGACAAGGTTGTCTTAAGAGCCAGACAGGATGTGAGGGGAGTGTCCAGCATATAAAAACAGTGAGAGTGACAACACACTTCCTGATTGCTTAGTGAAGTATATTCATTATCCATTTGTTTAAAGGAAAGAGATGTTTTTAAAGATGTGACCAAGCAGAAAAGTTACATGGGCTAGAAACTTCAACAGCACTGTTGTGACAGTAAGAGTAGTTTTCTGTCACAGCCAATATCATCTGTTAGGTTTATTAAAAATTCCAGTTCGGATATTATGCTTCTTAATTCCACTGTAAAAAAAAATTTAAAAAAATCATAAAAGTTGACAGTGATGGCCAGTTCAAAAAATTTAGATTTGGATTTCATACAAAGATAATTTTCATTGTGAACGTATTTCTATAGAGGCGATAGGACCTCTGTATAATCTGACATTGTATAATCGACATTGCGTTTACATAACAATAATAAATAGAGCAATTACAATAATAATTATCGCTAATATTATCCATCAGTGAAGTGTGTTCATTCTCACTAGACCCTCTCCCTCCTCCTCTCTCTTGTTACAACACTGTGTGCTCTTTCTCGTGATAGACTTTTGGTATAGATATTTTTTTCCAGTAAATATTATGGTAAGTGTAATGTTTTTTTTGTGTTACCATGCAAGAAAACAAAATTATGCTGTTTTCCCTCAAGCGGTGGTATTTTTTTATAATAATGAATTAGTAAGAAGCAGAAGAAGTCTGCATTTGTGCAACCCAATGGTGGAACCCTGTTCTTTAGTTTTATCAGGTATTGACCCACTACTATAAGAAGATGCGGGTATCGCAGTATCTATATATTTGACATTGAGCCACCTATCTCTAGATACTAAGTCTTACAAACTTAATTTTCTTACACAAGTGAAAACAAGTCCCAGAGGTGAGGAGATAGCATGCTTCAGTTTCCCTGAATATTATATTCTGCCTCAGTTAAAGATGTCGGCCCTGTTAGCATAAAACATCCTGAATATGCTGCATTGAAAACGAACTGAATTGTTCTGCCAGATTGCGAGAGTTGTTAAGACAGGTATTTTTGCAGTGGGGTATTCTTGGTGATTTCTAGGAGCTAAAGGGAAAGATGGAGTCCCTGCAGCCGCTCATCCCTGTCCTGGAGCAGTACAAGACAGACGCCAAGCTCATCTCCCAGTTCAAAGAGGAGATCAGAAACCTGTCTGGTGTGTTGATGGGCATCCAGGAGGAGATGGGAGCCTACGACTATGAGGAGCTGCAACAGAGGGTCTTAAACCTGGAAAATCGGCTCCGCAACTGTATGAGTAAACTCAGTAAGTCGGCATGGTCACCCAAGATTAGTCTATGTCAAAGGGATCATTAGGCACATTTCTTGCAGCTAACAGCAGATAGGTACTTTAGATACAGAATAAGGGACAGAGTAGAACTGCTTTGTGAAAATGTTTATTTACAGAACCACATAAAATTTTCCCGAGCTAAAGGTGAAAAGTGGTAGCATCAAGATTATTTCATATGTTTGTTTTTTCCCTTTTGATTCCTTCTGGTTGCTTTATAGCCATTTGCAGTCGGACACTAAAAGGCTGTGGTTTCTTTGGTCCATTCATTTAAGTCAAACTCAAAGCTAATAAGATCAATTCTGCCTCCAGAGCAGCTTTGCCTCTGATAGAGGTTTGCATAACTAAAGCCCCAATTTGCCAACTGCCAGGTTATCAACATTGATGGGGCCTGTCAAAGTGTCAACCTAAATAGCTAGCGTGAATGTTAATAGGATGTGGCTGAAAATCTGTCTGAGCTGGCGATGATTACTCAAGCATTCATTGTGCTTGAGCTTTGATTGAGTAAAATAGCAGTTAAACACTTGATAGGGAACTTGCAAGCTTAAGTGCAGGTGATAGCCGACCGTCATTTGGCACAATTAAAGTGTCTGGCAAGATGAATAAAGTACAGCTCAAACTACTTCAAATATCAAACCATGTGGGATAAATGTTCAGGGGTTTTACAAGTTGTTGTATTGTGGCATTTCCTCTGGTTATCCGCTGTATTTCTATAAGAGCAGAAGAAGCATGCGGTGGTGCACGGATGCTGCCCACAGAACATCAACAACCAAAACCTTTTTGATTGAAAAATGAGCCACTACCAGATTTAAGCAGTCCAGCGCTTTGAGATCTATTCCAGTTTATTCCAACCATAACATTGGCTGTAGTTTTATCATGTGGAGCGAGAGAAGTTTTGTGCTGTTTGTGTACTAGATCCGTGTGATGTGTTTGCAGCATGTGGCAAGCTGATGAAGATCACTGGGCCGCTGACAGTGAAAACATCAGGGACCAGATTTGGAGCCTGGATGACCGACCCACAGGCGTCTCCCAAAAACAACCGGGTGAGCCCATTTAATGTGCTTTTCTTTATGTTGCAACGCTTTGAAGCAACACTGAGCGGTTTAATAATTTACATACAACTGCTTCCCTCCTGTTGTTCAGCAGGGGAAAAGATGTTGTTGAATTACAACATCATACTCCATAAAAGTTTTTCATGCATTTAGATGCTGAGTTCAAACATAAAACATGATATCACTTGTGGAAAATAACCAAATTCACTGGAAGAGTCTGCACTTTGTTTTCTACTTGCCACAGGGCCTTCAACATAGTGCTTTACAGAACCTGTAAAAGCCAGTGCATACTGCATAAGATGTCTGGCACTTTGTCAATTAAAAAGTGTGGAAAGAAAGACATTTTGTTTACAGTGCATTCAGGGTTACTCATCAAAATAAACTGTGTAGATCCTTGAGACTGAACAAACTTGTTAAATGTGTTTGCTTCCCCATAAAAGCATTTGCAAAGCCATTTTTTTAATACACTTATACTGCAGAGGCCAAATGGCAGTTTCCCATGCAGTAAATCCACAAACAAGTTGCTCTTCATGTTGAAAAAAACAGAGTCACAGAAAAGAAAAAGCCTTTATTTAGTCAGGGAAAACATCACAGACATTATGCAGGGCTACATAACTTTTCTATTTGCTTTGAACATTGTTTGTTTTGGAAATGCCTTTGTTCACATGCATGTCTGCTCTCTAACTAATTCATCTTGTTTTTATAGAACAATGTCATTGCTTTTAACATGTGCCATTATTTGCCACGATTCTTTTCAGCCCCTGATCTCTGTATGTTTTATATATTTTTTTTTATCTCTTTTGGTATATTCTTGTGATGTAATCTCTTTTTCCTTTTGTAGTTTTATATGAAACCTTCTTTTTTTTTTTTCGTGTCCAGGACTCCCTGGCAGAAGAGATATTGTATCTCAGCGGGACCTTCCTGGTTCAATAAAGGATAAATAAAATAAAATAAAATAGTTACCACCACCAACTGTCATTTGGTGTCATACCATGAGGCAGAAATTTTTACGGTCTCATCTGCCTGCTGGTACGCAAACATATACAGATATAAACAGATACAAACAAACAGAGGTCTGGTTCCCGTACCATAAAGCAAGCTTAGCCTGGTTCACTTGGGGTTATACCTGGTTTCACTGAACTTTGGTTGTCTGTTATAACGAAACTGGTTATCAACTGACTCAGACCTCTGGATTTACCTATCCAGCTATGAGCACGTTCACTTGAAGGTCGAATTAATTACAAGTGAGCTTAATCAGAACCATAAATGAAGTGATTTATATTATAACTACAAATAATATTCAAATATTAAAGCATGGTTAAGGCCATAAAGAAGTTCAGGGAATTATCATAAATGTCTTTGCTATAAATTGAGTATTTGTTTGTATGAATATTTGATGCACATAAAAAACAGATATTGTTTCTGCTGCCAAAGCAGAGAGGAGAGGAGAAGAACAGTAGTTCATGTCTGATGAGTTCTGTTTGACTGAGATGTTGCATTTATGATCATGGGAAATATTTAACTGCGTGTGAATTATTTTTCCAATAAAAGACTACAGAGGGCAAAGTTTTTATTTCCAATTATCATCACAGTGTCTTCTCATGTTAATCTGAGCTTCAGTGATGGAATAGGAATGTAAAAGCATCAACACTGTCAGGAGTCGTGACAGTAATGGAAGAATCATGCAACTACAATCGTCATTTTGTTCAAATGGAAAAGCCTGAAACAGCAAAACAATCCTACTGATCTATAAGAAAATAGACTGCTCTTTATTACTTGACACCTTATTATAAACTCTTTGTCAATGTCAGGATGCTGTATGAGTGATTATTCCATGTTTCCAGTCATCTGATTGGTCAGTTGACAGTTTTTAATCTTGTCCTCTGCTGCAGTGCAGGTTAGCAGTGCAGCAGAGGTCGCCATAGCGATCTATTCCACCTAAAAGTAAGCCAGCCTTGTGCTACCAGAAAACCTGAGTTAAGCAGCTGGATGACCCACTAATCGTGCTTCATGGTACAGGCTCCAGGCCTCATTTTCAAAACCTTTCTCTATAGCACCACTAGTGGTCAAAAAATCATTTCTCTCTTTTATTAAATAATAAATAAATAATAAAACCCCTCAAATATTAAAATCCTCATTCATTCCACTTGGACGCTGAAATCTGAGATTATGATTTCAAAAAGTCTCTTTCTGTTTCCAAGTTGCCCTCCCTCAGTTTCAAGAGAATAAAATCCATCATTAATGGTTTGGCCTCCAAGACATCTTCAGTCACTGGGTGTTTTTATATCCCCTTTGATGGAGCTCCTGTGCTGTGACATTCTCTTTTTTAGTGAATGCCCTGTTTCTTATACTTTTTTCATGCACATATTAAAGATGTCAGAGATTCTTGCAAATTTACAGACACCTTGGACCAACCACCTGGAGCTTCTTGTACCTGAAAATCACAGGATTGTTGTGTTTTTGTATTCATTTGTCTCCAGGTCTGGTACATGGACAGCTACACCAACAACAAGATTGTAAAAGAGTATAAATCCATCGCTGATTTTGTGGCAGGAGTCGAGTCGAGAACGTACAACCTTCCTTTCAAATGGGCTGGAACTAACCACGTGGTGTACAACGGCTCTCTGTACTACAACAAGATGCAGAGCAACATCATAGTGAGGTATAGCTTCGAAACGGGCCGCGTGGTCACACAGAGAGCTCTGGAGTCGGCAGGCTTCCACAATGTGTACCCCTACACCTGGGGAGGCTTTTCAGACATCGACCTGATGGCGGACGAGCTGGGCCTGTGGGCCGTGTACGCAACCAACCAGAACGCGGGAAACATCGTCATCAGCCAGCTGAACCCTGACACGCTCCAAATCCTCAACACGTGGAACACAGAATACTCAAAGAGGAACGCCGGCGAGTCTTTTATGATCTGTGGGACACTCTACATCACTAACTCCCACCTTACTGGCGCCAAGGTTTACTACGCTTACTCCACTAAAACCTCCACCTACGAGTATACAGACATTCCCTTTCATAACCAGTACTTCCACATGTCTATGCTGGACTACAACGCCAGGGACCGCACCCTCTACGGCTGGAACAACGGCCACCAGGTCCTCTTCAACGTTACACTTTTCCACATCATTAAAACTGAGGACACCTCTTAGGCGGAGGAACAAAAGGGAAATTATGAAAAAATGGATTAAATGGATGGTTTCACCTGAATGTTCTTTTGAATTCTATTTATTTATTTATTTATTTCATTTCCCTGATTAGTTTTGTGCATTTTATATAAATTTATTTAATGGCATCTCGTTATTTTGCCTGCTGATTCATCAAGATATTCTCCATGTGGGAATGTGACACTCTCCATAAAAATAAATGACAGCACAAATTAAAACAAGTTCATTGCATTATGGAATACACTGCAGACGCACATTTTGGACTAAATAATGGCACTTTTACTTTGCAACTTTCCGAAATCCTGAACAATGAACTGCGAGTAATTTCTGCAGTTCTCTTTTCTCTCCGAAATGAAAGCTTTTTCGAAATGAAGTCTTCATATTTATAATGATTTCCTCTTCCAGTATTGCATTTATTCATGCCCCCCTAATTTATTCATATTTTGACTGTGTTCACTAATTGTTCGTTTTGTTTCCATTCTTTCCTTGCCATTTATTCATCATCATCTGCTAATTTATTCCTGCCTTTCACTAACTCCACTTAGCTTTCAATTTGTCTTTGTACTTTTCCTTTCAAAAGTTTGACCTTGTACAAGACAATGAGAAATGTGGTGAACCATAATGAACCTGTATAGTTATTGCACTTGGCTTTTTTGTGTCTATGAAGATTCTCAGTCATCCAGGTCATAGAATATCTGCAAGTACTAAGTCAAAGTACTTTAGCGAACAGCAAATGTGGTTGCCTTTAACTTAGTACTTTGAGATATTAGCTTTTTTGTAACATCAGCAACAGTTTGTATGCCTTACTCAGTGCAGTACGTTCTGTATGCCCAAGGATAACAGCTCTCGTGCATGAATGTTGGCTATCCTAATAGCATTTTTACTGTAACTGTACATCTGTGTATTTTGTATTTGCACAGCTTCCCATTCTCCTCCTCTCTAGTTATAGTAATAGTAAAGATCCATTTATACTGACAGCAGTAGATAACTTTAATAAGCATTTGTTTGTGTAAATAAGAAGTTATACATAAGCTAAATAAAAGTATTGTTTTCATTAAAAGCAATGTTCTGTGTATTTGTGGTTGCAGGATGACAGATTGGTTAATTTCTCTCCTCTGCAGCCAAAAGGAAACACTGAAATACGTCAAAAGTGAGGTAACATCACACTATAATTTCATGTGAGGTCACTTCAGCTCATAGATGTGAGTGCAACAGTGCCAGAAAAGATTTACTTCATTGTCCTCTATAAGGCCAACATGACTTTTTTTTCTCATTTCCTGCTCTACCCATTCTACATCACTGTTACTGTTTGTCAGAGCTTTAATCACATTAAAAGATATGTGCTTTTTTTCCCTGATAACTCTCAGCAAGGGACAGCATCCTTGTACGCTCGCTGACAACAGCTCATGAGAGCTTCATGCTTTGGTTTATGTGTTGGCTTTACTGGGTTTTGACTATAGCGAGTTACAATCAACAGTCCACTACTATAACTTTAAAAGTGACGTGATATTCCTTGTGCAGTAAGGCTATGAAGTATTCACGATGTTGTAATGTTGACAGTGCACTTCATTAGCAGTTAATCAGCCAGTGTTAAGCAGAGCAAGGAGAGAAGTAGAGAAGTGATATTAGAAGGCTTTATTTAGTCAGGTATATTGGTTTAAAACACCGACTGGTTTCAACTTCAAAATGATCTTTGTTAAGGCGCAAAATAGAAAAAAACACATTGTTTACACCTTGGACTCTATCGATAACACCGCGTAAAATAAACTTTCATGCATCACATAATGAAATGACAAATGGACACAGAGAAAACTGTGTTGATATCATATTTGTCACGTGAAACTGATTAAGCCTCTTTATTTGAAAAATAATATGTTTCAGTAGTTTGGAGGAAATGACACTGTGACTTAGTGTCAACTGAGAGGTGTTAGACGTTTATGAGAACAGCTGGTGGATGTAGCCTGTTATACTAACTAAAAATATTGGCACAATTATCAGAAAAGCTGAGCGCATTTGTGGTGCTAATTGTGAACAAAAGTTGATTCATAAGTTTGTGAACAAATATCAGTGATCTCATGCAGTTACACAAAACTGTTTTTTTTTATCTAAAATGGTAGATTAATAGTATCATCATGCTACACTAAATGTGACGGTGTTTTCTTTCCTCTTTGGAAGTGAGTGGGACATGAATACAGATGACATTAGGGATCAGAGCTGTGTAAAATGAGCTATTACATTTTTCTTTAGGCAGATGACATTAACTTTAAAAGTGATGTGACATTCCTTATCTAACTTCTATTGTACTGACTCTGCGCTACTTTACATGTCATTTAAACTTACATAATTCTGAAAGCCAGTGCAGAGATCAATTAAGAGTTACACTGATAATATAAGGATTGACAAAAAAAAAGTCCATCATAAGATATAAGAGGAGACCTAAATGGGTGCAAACTCATATACTAGATAATAAACCCATCTTACTAATAATACGAGGACCATTAACCGCAGGCAGTCAAGCTCAAAAGTATGAGTTACACCTTTAATTGGCAGCCTGTTAACGACTGACTAACCTCCTCACTCGGATGAAAACTGAATGTGTGGGTGAATAAAATACAGCAAGAGGACAGAATATAAGTAACTCAAAGTTTCACATCCTGTCAGAATCTACTTGTTCTGAAATAAACATGATAATTAGTGCAAGAAGAAGAGATTGGTAAGATAAGAATCTGACAAAAATTCACTGGTAAACAATAAGATCTTCAAATAGCATTTAGTAGATACAGTGAAATCCAAGAATAGAAGTTAATTATAAAGCAAACACAACTGTCGAGCAGCCAGATTTGACCCATGTCTTCTTGTGAGGTTAATGAGGGAGGCAGATCTTTTTACAGTGTAAAAAATGAGCAAGTTTCCAAGCAATTTAATGTCACAGTGAGTCTGAAAATAAATCTTTGCTCCCAAGATCATTATATTGTAAACTATGGCTTGTGACAAGTGATGTTGCTTATAATAAGATACTGACTAATGTATAAATAAAAAAGTGGGATGACATCAAAAATAAGCCAACTATATCTGTGGATTGTTAAAAGAAAAACAGAATTTTATGACTCCAAACAGACTAACCGTGTTAAGATTCACACTTTTTGCAGTGCCGCTCTGTTGACTCATGTGAATGTTGACTCATTTTCTGTCGTGAGGAGGTGTGATTTCACAGCGTGCGTGTGTGTGTGCATGTGTGTGTGTGCGCATGTGTGTGTCATGGCCTTGAGGACTTTTTTAGCCATCCACTGCTGTAGTACACACACGTATGCATGCACACACACACTTTAAGGACGCACAGATATCCAACTGACAGGCTCCGTGCTGAAACTCTCCTCCAGGTCAGATCAATGCAGGTCAGCCAGACAGGAAGCATCTCAAAGGTCAGAGAGGCACTCACACCAACTCCATGCCTTTAGGAAACACAGTATGGATCTCCTGAGATATTGATCCCTGGAGAGTGCCGATGTTAAGCACTTCCCCATGTAGCAACTCGAATGATTCTGTCAGCATTGTGCAGCATTGAATTCTTGAATTACTATAACTTCAAGTCTTGTACAGCATGGCAGTTGAACAGTAGATGTCAGAATTCTGGTAAATCTTGAGGGGAGATGAAACCGATACTGTATGTCGAACATGTTAGAGTACCGTCTCCTTCAAGCAAGAGCACTATGAACCACAACCCTGCCAACCCACTGACTCTGCAAGTGGCCAAAATTTCAGTTTTTCTATTATTAGTCTACTTGATTCAGTGGAGCACACTCATGTTCACTCATGTTTCACTTCTTTATTCAAGTGATTGCTTTTGTCCAACACACTCTTATTCAGTTGACTTTTCCCTCTCACTGATACAGGGAACAGTTTTTATGTGGACCCACAAACACATATTTACAAGGCTGTGCTACACAAAACACTGTGTACTTGGTGTCTATAGTTACTCCCATGTTTTTAATTTTAAATAACTGATCTACCACATCTGGAGCGCAATTCTGCCAAGAAAATACAATACAGCTACATCATATTTCTTAGAGTATCTTTTTGAAAATGTCTCATTAGTGCCAAGACTTGAAACAGCACAATGGGGCCCATGCACCGTGAGGCTGTAACACTCTAATGTCAACCAGCTGCTGCTAGTATTAATCAAAACTCCAACTCGCAAATGTTGAACCAAAGTGGATATTCTTGCTATAATTGGATGATTTTTACAGCTTTATTCATATATTTATATATTTTTGAGTTTTTTTTTGCCTTGGTTCAGTCCCTATTGCAACCATGTTTCCTATCAGTTGATGAAGAGGGCCTCTTCCTTCAAACCTAAACCTGTTTGGACTGGGGTGGAGAAACCTCTTTTAGTATAGTATCTTCAATCCACACATCGGCATATATTCTGCTTGTAAAGGGATTATCAAATCAGTGTAGTTAAATGTGATGGGTATGGTACTGTGGTTGTCATCTAACACAAAACAGCATGTCATGGATGTGTTAACAGAATGTGTAGCATAGCAAATGAAATCACTTGAATTAAACATCTAAAGAGGATGCTAGTGACAAGTTCAAAGCTGACAAAAAAAACTATAAAACTGTAGTGATGGGGTGTTAACATTAAGGATAATCCTTCTCCTGTTCATTGGATTTGTGTTGCTAGGTAACAGCTTGGGGTTTCATTTTATTTCCTGTCAGCTTTTGATATTAACAAACACTGTAACAGGAAATAAAAGCAGATTCAAATTAGGCTACTGAACGTGAAGCAGTCTAAAGAAATGAAACAGAGGCCGTACTTAACAAGCACTGCAACTTTTCTCTTGCGAGCCAACCCATCACCCAAATGTAATTACTGTGGTCCATTTGATGCCGTCCACTGGGAGCCCTTATTTATCATTATTACAGTATAAACATTAACATCTGTTGACCAAAAGTGTGGATGACTTTAGCTGTCAGCTCAGCTTTGCCAGCAAAAAAGGATTAGAATAAAATCAAATGTGTAGCACTACAGGAGATGTCCTTTTACTGTGCTTAAGCTGAATTACAACGTCTATATATGATTATAAATGATAACGTGATTCTACAAATCATTCTGACAGCTGAGAAATAATACCTTGAGAGTGGGAGATCAAGTTGTGTCAGCTTATCTCTGTGTGTAAAAATCATATTCACATATTCATTGCTGGATTTACAAAACCACGAGAGACTGGCATGGCACCAGGAAACACAGAAGTGGGTAAAAGCAGGCAGATATTTCCACTTTAAGATTGGATGTGACTG